GTGGCTGGGAGCGGCCACTGCACTCCAGTCTGGGCGACAGAGTGAGACTCCAACTCAAACAAAACAAAACAAACAAACAAAAAAACAAACAAAATCATGGATAGGACAGGCGTGGTGGTTCAGCCTGTAATCCCAGCACTTTGGGAGGCCAAGGCGAGAGGACTGCCTGAGTCCGGGGGTTCGAGACCAGCCTGGGCAACTTGGTGAGACCTCGTCTCTACAATAAATCAAAAAATAAGCTGGGTGTGGTAGCGCACACCTGTACCAGCTACCTGGAAGGCAGAGGCGGAAGGATCGCCGGAGCCCAGCAAGTCAATGATGGAGTGGCAGTGAGTGTGCAACTGCACTCCAGCTCAGGCGACAGAGTGAGACTCCAACTAAAAAAAAAAAAAAAAAGTGGATATATTATCAAGTGATGAAATTATGGATGATTCCTATTTATATGCCAACATTGCCAAAGTGTTTCTACAATAAGCATATAACTTCTATAGTAAGAAAACTCGCATTACTAAAAGGTCAGTGTTTTTAATTATGTGGGTAACAAGGAAGTCAACCCACAGGTATGGATCAGACCTGAAAGGTCCATTTCCAGACACAACAGGACCCGTAAAATGCCTTTGCACATTCAGCTGGGAACAGTGGTTCTCAGTTGGCACAAGCAGGGAAGAGAACCTGAAGAACAAGACCTTTTTGAAAAACTATACTGGCTCACCTCTCTAGGGAGTGCTTATTTGCAGGAGAGAGGAAACACAAAGGAGGGAAATGATGGAGAAATATGTAGTCTGGCAGTCTGTACCACCTCCTTGCTGGGAACGGCTAGTTTGGCACACTGAGCACTTAGAAGAGCAGCGCTAGGGGGTGCTGTCTTGGAATATGTTCTGGGCAACATTTCCAGACAGCGCTTTACCCAGGTGGACGGCCAGAGTCATGGCCACATCACATCGCCTCTGTTGACATTCCTGCAAACAGGTCTCACCTGGCCAGTTTCTTCAGCTCATTATTGATGTCATGATTGAAGGGCTGCTCCTTCTGGGCCCGGACTAGAAAGTCCCGGGCTTTCTCATACTCAGTCATGAGAAGACAAGACTGCAAAAGGAGAGAATTTTAAAGCATACAGACATAGGTAAGACAGCATTTTTGCAGTACCTGAGTTAAGGACTGCTGACACCTCTTCGTGGGCATTTGTTCCCCAGTCACTGGCCTCCGACTCACCTGACCACACCTGAAGAGGGCCTTGGCATTCTTTTTGTCAATGATTAAAGCCCGCTCTCCATAGCGCAGGGCCATGGTGGGCCGGTCTAGCTTCAGGTATGTCAAGGACAGGTTAAGAAGGACAAGAAGCTCGGCAGCCTCCACCAAGTGATGCTCTTCGGGGGGTGCTACTCGCCGGTGGAGGAGCAACAGGGCCTGTGGCAAGGGAAGGCACATGGTCAAGGGGAGGAACCATCTTATATACAGAGTATATATAAAGCCCGAAGGATTCGCACAAACAACTATTAGAGCTGAAAGAAAAAAAAAATGAGTTTAACAGGTTGCAGGGCACAAGATTAAATACATAAAAGTCAGCTGTATTTCTGTACTCCGGAAATGAACAATCCAAAAATGAAATAAACAAACCAACTCCATTTACAATAGAATAAAAAATAATAAAATAGCAATAAACTTAAAAAGCATAAGACTCGTACACTGAAACTATTACATATTGTTGAAAGAAAATAAAGACGACAACTGGGCTTGGTGGCTCCGCCTGTGATCCCAGCACTTTGGGAGGCTGAGGCGAGCAGACAGCCTGAGCCCATGGTTCAAGAGCAGCCCAGGCAACTTGGTGAGATGCCGTCGCTACAAAAAAATTAGCTGGGCGTGGTAGTGCACACCTGTAGTTTTGGCTGCTTGGAAGGCTGAGGCGGAAGGATCACCGGAGCCCAGCAAGTTGAGGTTGCGGTGGCCATGAGCGTGCCACTGCACTGCAACTAGGGCGACAGAGTGAGACTCCGACCCCCCCAAAAAAAAGAAAGAAAAGAAAAGAAGATCCAAATAAAAGGAAAGACACCTCACATAAATGCATCGGGAGACTTAAGATGGTAATATTCCCCAAACTGATCAGCATATTCAATGCAACCACTACCAAAATTTCAGTAGCCTATGTTGCAGAAATGGACAAGTTGAATAGAAAATTCATATGAAAATTCAAGGGACCCTGAAGAGCCAAACACTCTTGAAAAAGAACAAAGTTGAAGAACTTGTATTTCTCATTTCAAAACTTACTTAAGCTAATATAATTAAGCCAGTATGGTACCGGCACAAGAACAAACATACAGATCAATGTAATCGAATTGGGAGTCTGGACATAAATTCATACATTTCAAGAAGGGTGCCTAAACCATTCTACATAGGAAAATAATAACCTTTTCAACAAATGGTACTGGGACCACTAGCTATCAACACGCAAAAGAATAAAGTTGGACCTCAACCTTACAACACTACGTATAACTCAAAGTGGATCACAGACCTAAAAGTAAGAACTAAAGCTATAAGCCTCTTAGAAGAACACACAGGTGTATAAATCTTTGCTATCTTGGATTAGATATAACATCAAAAGCACAAGCAACCAAAGAATAAACAGACTGAACCGCCATCAAAATTTAAAACTTTCTGTGTTTCAAAGGACATTACCAAGCCACAGGATGGCATAAAACACTTGCAAATAATATATCTGATAAGGGTCTAGTATCCAGAATACAGAGCAACATTTACAATACAAATAATCCAATTTAAAATGCACAAAGAGCTGGCTCGGTGGCTCAGCCTGCAATCCCGCGCTTTGGGGGAGGCTGAGGTGACTGGACTGCCCAAGCCAGAGGGTTCGAGACCCACCTGGGTAACTTGGTGAGACCTCATCTCTACAATAAATCAAAAAACTAGCTGGGCGTGGTGGCACGCGCCTGTACCAGCTACTTGGAAGGCGAAGGCGGAAGGATCACCGGAGCCCAGCAGGTCAAGGCTGCGGTGGCCAGGAGCA